AAGCTCTGATGTCTCTTCTTATAAGGATACTAATCCTATTGGATGAGGGCCTTACCCTTATGACCTCGTCTAACCTTAATTATCTCTTTATAGGCTCTATCTTCAAAAACAATGGAGGTTAGGGCTTCAACATATGAATTTTGTGAGAACACAATTCATTTCATAGCAAATGCAATTATAAATGGAATTGTTACTTAATTGCCATTTTGGATTAATCATTATTGGTGTTTAAAAAAACTGGTTTTGACTGTTGATCTCATACTTTGCAAATTTGTCAGATTTGTTTATTGGCCCTAATGTGGTGTGTGTGTGTGTGTGTGTGTGTAATGCACACACGTGCACATGCCCACACTTTAGGTTTATATATAGAGGATAATGGCATCATTTAATTTAGATAGTTATACTTCTGCCTTACAACTTGGATGCCTTTTATTTCTTTTCCTTGCCTAATTGCTCTGGTTAGAGTTATTCCTTAATTTTAAGAGATTCCTATGCAGTTATGGAGGCAGCAAGTCTGAAATCAGTAGGGAAGGCTGGTAGAATGAAAACTCAGGCAGGAGTTGATACAGCAGTCTTGAGACAGAATTTCTTCTCTAAGAAACATCAGTTTTTGCTCTTAAGGCCTTCACCAGATTGGAAAAGTCCTACCCCCATTACCAAGAGTAAGCTCTTTTACTTAGGGTCAACCAATTGTAGATGAAAAATATCTACTAAATACCTTCACAGCAACACCTAGATTAGTGTTCGATTAGATAAATAAGTACTATAGCACTGTGAAGGTGACACATAAAACCAACTATTACTCCTAGTATGGTGGATAGTATTTTTAGTTCACAATTTTTTAAATAAAATTTCCTACTCTTCTCATGGCTTCAGTTTTGGTAGAATATACTTCCCCAATCTAGTGACTTTGCATTTTGCTATATGACTTGCTTTGGCCAATGGAATGTTAGCAGATGTAACATATGTTCATTAGCTAGGAAACTAGATGGCGTCTTGGAGAGAAGATGAAGTCATGTATATACTGAATCCTTTGCTTTTGTGTGCATGTGTGTGTGTTTGTTTGTGTGTGTTTCTTCAGGCAGTGATATAGTATCCATGAAAGAACTCTTACAGGCAAAAGAAGGAATAATTGGAGCACCAAGGAGAAAAAAAAATGTTTGACTGCAGTGGATTGAAACACATCAAATATGCTAAAAATGCATAAATTGAATTCTTAATAATGCTTAAAAAACTCACTGGTCACACTGAAGATTGCTAGGACACCAATTTATTTGAAGTTGATAAATAAAGGTTAA